GTTTTACAATAGTGAGGTTATCCCCAGGAGCAATTTGGAGAGGTTCAGACTCTTGGAGCCAGAGGCTGCATAGCCCGTACATTCTAATTTCTAATCTTGTAGCTAATTTGTCAATCCTGCAAAAGCAGGCTGGTTCCCAGGCAAGAAAGGGCTATCATCAATTTTGTTTCAGAGTCAAACCATGAACTGAATTCCTTCCCAAAGTTAGTTGGGCCTATGCCCAGGAATGAACAAAGACAGCTTAAAGGTTAGAAGCAAGATGGTGTTGATTGGATCTGATCTCTTTCACTGTCATAATTTCCTCAGTTATAATTTTTGCAAATGTGGTTTCAAAAGCAGCCTGAGCAACATGCAATACTCTGTTGCCACAAAACATTTTTTAAAAATTAGCTGGTGTAGGGGTGCACACCTGTAGTCCTAGCTACTCAGGAAGGAGGCTGAAGCAGGAGGATCACTTGAGTTTAGGAATGTGGAGTTGTGGTTAACTATGATCATGTCACTGCACACCAGCCTGGGTGACAGAGCAAGATCCAAGATCCTGTCTCAAAAAAAAGTAATAGTGAAGGAAAATCAAAGAACAAATCAATGAACTCTTCAGCAAAACTGGTAGCATAGGCTGTGAGTGGTGGCTCACACCTGTAATTCCGGCACTTTGGGAGGCTGAGGCAGGAGGATCATGAGGTCAAGAAATCGAGACCATCCTGGCCAACATGGTGAAACCCCGTCTCTACTAAAAATACAAAAAAATTAGGTGGTGTGTGCCTGTGGTCCTAGCTACTCAGGATGCTGAGGCAGGACAATTGCTTGAACCTGGGAGGTGGAGTTTGCAGGGAGCCGAGATGATCATAATTAACCTGAATAATATGAATAAAACAGGAGCTCAATTGAGGCCTTTCCTGTGTGTCTACACAGCTGGTGAATCAAGGTATCGTCCACAATGATTGCCCTGCTGAAAATTTTATTTTTTAAAATGAGGATACTAACATTCCATCTTCTTTCCATCTTGCCTTTTCCATGCTACTTTTCAACTTCAATTAGCTATAACTTTACTTTTATATATTTTGTATGGTTGTTTTTTTTTACTATAATTATCTGTGTTTTGTCTATTAGTTGATTCTTTAAACACTTATTTCCTTGAAACCGTAATATCTGTACATGGTAAGAGTCCAACCATGCAAAAAAAAAAAAAAAAAAATACACAGGAAGATAAAGTCCCCTTTTCCATCCCAGACTGCGACACCTCTTCCTTAGAGATAACCAGTTTTGATATACTCTTTCAGAAATAGTCTGAACATGTATAGGCAGCTAGAAATAATGTGTACAATGAAAATATGTGAATGCTTTATTAATATTTGAACATTGACCTTTTTACTTAAAATACCTTTAATATTATTCTATATTGGTATAAGTAGACATGCTTCATTCTTTTTGATGGGGTTTCACCATTTTGGCCAGGCTGGTCTTGAACTCCTGACTTCAGGTGATCCACCCACCTTGGCCTCCCAAAGAGCTGGGATTACAGGCATGAGCCACTGTACCCAGCCTGTATATGCTAATTTTAAAGGCTAAAAACCAGTAACAGCAATAGCAAAAATTTTTAATTTTTTTTTAAAGACAGGGTTTCACCATGTTGGTCAGGCTGGTCTTGAACTTCCGACCTCAGGTAATCCGCCCACCTTGGCCTCCAAAGTGCTTGGATTACAGGCGTGAGCCACCACATCCGGCCAAAATTTTAATTTTATTATAGAATTTTTTTTTTTTTTTTTAGGTGGACTTTCACTCTTGTTACCCAGGCTGGAGGGCAATGGCACGATCTCGGCTCACTGCAACCTCCGCCTCCTGGGTTCAAGTGATTCTCCTGCCTCAGACTCTCAAGTAGCTGGGACTACAGGCACGCGCCACCATGCCCAGCTAATTTTTGTATTTTTAGTAGAGACAGGTTTTCACCATGTTGACTAGGATGGTCTCGATCTTGACCTCGTGATCCACCTGCCTTGGCCTCCCAAAGTGCTGGGATTATAAGCATGAGCCACAGCGCCTGGCCAGAAAAAAATTTTAAAAGCTTACATTTAGAACTCAATTTGTTCAATTCAGCATTTAATAAACATCTACTATATACACAGACCCCAATTACTCTTTACTCTTTTTTTTTTAAACATAAAGTTGCAGCTTTAAACATCTATCTGATAATAGGGGGGAAATGGTAATAGTGAGGAAATAGCATTTGTACTTTAACTTTTAAAATGTTAGATATATACATACTGTTGGCTGTATCTCTGTAGTTACTTTAGTTCAAGACACTAAGTGTAGTCTCATGTCTGTGTGTGCGTGTGTTCCTTTCCCATATGAGTACTTTTCTGAAGTAGGCTTACATTTTTTTGTTCCTATTTCCTTCCTTCACTTCTTAATCCACTGTAGCTTGGCTTTTTAGCCCATCCATCCCAGTAAAATTGCTTTTACCAGAATCATTCATGAACTCTTACTTGCGTAAGCATTTGAGTCTTATCTCTGTTGGCCTGGTGACTCTGTTTCTCTTTGCATCTCTCTGTATTCCTGGTTTCTGTAAAGCACACTCTCCTAGTTCTCTATTTCTCATTTCCTTTCACCAATTTCTTTTCTTTTAGACCCTTCAATGTTAGTGTTCCCCTCCCTCCCATTCTCAGCTCATTATACTTTTCATCTTGTATGTTCTTGTGTGACTTGGTTAGGTCTTGCTATGGTCTGAATGTGTATGTTCCCCCAAATTTCATATGTTGGAACTTAATACTCAATGTGATAGCCTTTCGGGAAATGATTAAGACATGAGTGGGGCTAGTGCCCTTATAAAAGATGTTGAAGATAACTGCCTTGACTCTTCTGCCTTGTGAGGACAAAGCAACAAGGCAACCATCTATGAAGCCGAGAACGTTAGTAAAGACGAGGTTTCACCATGTTGGCCATGATGGTCTCGATCTCCGGACCTCGTGATCCGCCCATCTCGGCCTCCCAAAAGTGTTGGGATTACAGGCATGACCCACCACACCTGGCCATTAACTCATTCTTAAAGCGTACTTCTTCTTATCCAGCTTGTTCTTTTCCTCTTTTAACCCGTTACAGGCATATTTCCAAGATTTCTCCTTAGACCTTTTCTCTGTTTATTAGTCCTTGTTAGCTGTTGGGAAACATTTTACCGTCCATTATTATTCTTCAGACCAGGCCAGCTTCAGGTGCTTTCCTCTTCTTCAGGAACAAAACAGAAACCTATTATGCTTTCCTTTTCAAAAAACGCCGTACGTACTCTCCCCTCACCCAGGTTCTTTTCCCAAAGGTGGAATGCAGTCTTCTCCGGTCTGGCCTATTTTGCTGTGCTCGAGTGGAATCTTCTCACTTTACTGACTTTACTAATAAACAGAAATTACAAAGATCCCCAAATCTTCCCAATGTTTTGGTTCTTGATCTATATGCAGATTCCCTCCTGTAGAAAACTACATGGGGTGACACAAGGTTGTTAGAAAGCTGGCTGGCTAAGAGGCCTCAGAGTGAGTAGCATTCGAACAGGGTCTAGCTTTTGTGTTACAGGACCAAAGAAGCTGAATCATGTTCGTTAGAAGCTGCTGCATAAAAACCAACATACCAGCGTATTTAATTTGTGCTGAAAAATATGACTGTCAAGGAAAATGGCCATTCACTTCATTTGGCCAGGGCATTCTCTCTTTGTAGGAAAACCACATGGGAATTAAAAAAACATTCAGAACTGTATTTACTGAGTAAAGGAACAGAATAAAAAGTTCAGTTTTATGACTCAAATATTTAAAGGAATCACCTTAAGCTTTAATAGAGAGACTATCTCTACTACTAGAACCAGATAGTTTTGTACACATACAGGAGACTTTTCATTTTACAAATATTTATTTCCCAGGGTTTTTTCAGCTCAATTCCTGAGTTAGATATGCTATTTCTCCTAGTAAGGTTTGCTCTGACCAGAGAGGTTCATTTCTGGTTAGATCCACTTTGCACTCAACTGTAACAGAATTGTTACAGGACAATCTTTATTTTCAAGTGTTGGGAGAGTATCTGTTGAACCCTAATACCACTCAGCATAGACTTGCATACTAGACGCTCACAGTTAAGTCTTCACTTATCTCTACTTACTCGTGGGGGCGGGGGGGGGGAATGAGAAAAAAAGGAAGTCATATACAGCCCCCAATACCAGGCAGCCTGGCACGCAGCAGACGCCCTCAAATCTGGTGAAGGAATAAACGCCGTTCCTACTCCTGTCGCCGAACGCAATTCAGAAAAGCATTACAGAGCGCCTCTTCTTCCAGGCTGGAAAGGCTGCAGGCACCCAGAACTCGCCCCACCTCCGCCGGGGGACTCCGCCCTCTCCCCGAGCGCTCCAAGCCGAGACCGCAGGTCTGCGAGGACTGGAAACGCGACTACCGAGCCAGGATTCATGTCCATCTTATTCCCCCACTCACTCACAGCACTCACCCCCTGGCTATTCAAACAGGGGAAAAAAAAAAAAAAAGGTGGGACTAAGAAGACAGTAGGGTTAGGACTGGGCAGAGAGGCTTCAACAGCAGGCCCGGAAACGCATCCCCAGACTCTCTCTAGGGAATCAGGCCCCAGTTCAGAGATCCAGAAACAAACATTGCAGCGTCAAGAGCGTTAGGGCCGAGTCTACTTCTTTCGCCGGTTGGGCCTCAGAACCCCGAGGCCGCCCTGCTAGACTGCGCGACTACGAGGCGGGCCAGAGCGCGCCCCCAGCTCGCGGCTGCCGGCAGACAACGCGGAGCTGAGCTACAGCCGAGGAAGGCCGCGCTCCGACGCGCGCCGGCAGCCGTGCCCGCAGAGGGGGTCCGCTCCCCCCGGTCTCGCGGTCGGGTCGCGACCGCCCTTTCTCAGGATGACCGCGTTCCTTCCGCCCAGAGAGGGCAAAGAGTCCCGCTTCCTCGCGAGCACCTCCCGCCCGCGCTCCGGAGCGCCCCCTAGGAAGAAAGCTCGAGCGGCGGCCATGCAGCGGCCGCGATTTTATTAGCGCTCGGTTGGGGTGGCCGGGCTGCCGGCGTGCGGGGTTTCCCCGCCCCTCCCCCTGCCCCTTCCCCCACCGGGCGGCGGGAACCTCCCTGCGGAGCGGAGTGATACCGGCGGCGGCGTAGAGCGCGGCGCGGCCGAGAGGGGCGCCCGGGATTGCGCGGGGCGGGCGGCGGCGACGGGAGGTGGGGAGAGAGGCGGGGCCGGGGCGGGTTGTTGTGAGGCGACTGCGCTACTGCCGGAGCGGGGCGGTTATGGCGGCTCCATATTAACAGCCTCCTCCTCCTCCTCCTTTCCCTCCCGCCCGCGCTCTAAGCCATCTCCCCCTTCACCCTGACGCCTACCTCTTCCCCTCACCTTGCCCCCTCCCCTGTTCTACCATGCCCGGCATGATGGAGAAAGGGCCCGAGTTACTGGGGAAGAACCGATCGGCCAACGGCAGCGCCAAGAGCCCTGCGGGCGGCGGCGGCACCGGCGCCTCGTCCACCAACGGCGGGCTGCACTACTCGGAGCCCGAGAGCGGCTGCAGCAGCGACGACGAGCACGGTGGTAGCCTCGAACTCCTCCCCGCCAGCCCGCCTGCCCCCCTCCCTCCTCCCCTCCCCCAGCCCCCTCCCCTCGCCGCTCTCCCGCCCTCCCTCCCCTCAGAGCCCGGGCGCTGCGGTAGCCTCGAACTCCCGGTGCAGTGCAGCAGCACCCCCCGCGACCCCCGTCCCTCCGCCCTCGACCAATCCTCCGCCCTTGCCCCCCCCGTTCCCCGCCCCCCATCCGCTTCCATCTCCCGGAGTGCCCCGAGTTAATATCTTCCCATCCACCCGCCGCTTCTTTCCTCCATCCAGCGATTTTTATTTTTTATTAAGTGTCTCTTCCTTTTTCTTTCTTTTCTTCTTTTTTATTTTACATATATATTTTTTGGCATTGTTTTGCAGATGTTGGGATGAGAGTCGGAGCCGAATACCAAGCTCGGATCCCTGAATTTGATCCAGGTAGATATATTTGCCTAGACAAAATCCCATCTCCCCTTTCCTGGGTTTGGTTCGGGGTGGACGGGCTAGGTGTCCGGGCATAGGTCCGGGAGGGGATGCGGGGTTGGGCTGGGCAGGCATCCGCTGCGGGGAGGCTGTCAGGCTTGGCCGGGCTGTGACACTGGGCGTGTGGGCAGATGTGTGCATTGCAAGGTTAACATGGTTCCCTTCGGAGGCCACTTGCCCGCTGGGGGCATCGCCTTCCTGGCCCTTGAGCTGGAGCAGGGCCGGGTGAGCAGAGGGAGACGGCCCTCCGCGGAGTCCGAGGTCTCAGGCCGCGGGCTTGGAGGAGCAGGCGTGCGGGCTGTGTGGACGAACCGTGCAAATGTCAGTTGCCACCTCGCCCGCCCCGGCGCCGAGGGCCGCGCTCTACTGGCGGGCGGCGGAGGCCGGGGCGGCTGTCACCGGCCGGGGAATACGAGGGCGAGCCCAGCCGGCCCGCGCGCACCCAGGATTGTCTCTTTTCTTTCTTTTTGGCTAGGTGGTGTAGCTTTGGTCGCAGCAGCTCTGCGGAGTGCAGGAGCCGCGGAGAGAAATGGGTAGGGGAAGGGGGTGGGGAGACGCCAGCGGCTGGCACTCCTCGCTCGCCAGCCAGCCCTGGGAAGTTAGACCACAGGACAGTGGCTGCAGCTGCCAAGGAGACATTTTCTCCCCGAGCAGCCAGGTTCCAGCGTCCTCTGCCAACCCAGCTTGCGGGCTCCCTGTCTACTTTTCTCCAAACAGGCTCCCCGGCGGTCACGGGATTTCAGCCTGTGCGGGGATTGGGCGAGAGTTCCGCATATGGAGGCGCCCTTGCTGGAGCCTCTCGGAGTGGAGCGCGTTTCCTTCTCCCCACCCTGCCCCAGACCTTTCTCGGTTCAGGCTTTGGACGGACTTTGAAAGAGGCCCGCCTTTTTGTTTTCCTCCCAACAGTTCGTCAGTTATTTCGCCCAGTGTCCGTTCATAATATTGTGTTTGTGTCAGACCTGGGATTTGTATGTTAGATTATTAATAGAGCTTACTTGTATTTTCTTGGGGAGAAACAGAATGTCTAATTATTAGGATACAGAGGCGTATTTTCTGTTCCTCCCTTCCCCATTAGGACAGTGCAAAATGATATTTACTAAGCATTTGGAGTTCAGCTAGAGCTCCTCCTACCCCAAGTGAGGAGGCTAAAAACTAATGAGTGTTAAAGTGATTGTCGGGACAGTCTCTTTTAATAGGTGAAAACAATGATACAAGAGTGTTCTAGATTTGGGTTACTTTCTAAATGACTGGCTGTGAAAACATTTTATTCAAAGACTATCTGTGTGTATACTGATAGGCTTCAAATAATTTTAAATGTCTTATGAAACTAATTTTCTTTATTGTTGCCAGTAGGTAAATGGCACTTTCACACCACTCTGCTCTCTCTGGGTTCGTTTGATATTTGGAAAGAGCGCTCTGGGTTTAAGAGACTGAATTCAATTCCTAACTAACTCCCTTCTTTGTGCTCTGAGCAGGTCACACGCTTTCTCTGAGCCTCAATATTCCTAGCTTTTTTTTGAGATGAAGTCTCATTCTGTTGCCCAAACTGGAGTGCAGTGGTGCGATCTCGGCTCACTGCAACCTCCACCTCCTGGGTTCAAGCGATTCTCCTGCCTCCCGAGTAGCTGGGACTACTACAGGCACCCACCACCATGCCTGGCTAATTTTTGTGTTTTTAGTAGAGACAGGCTTTCACTATATTGGCCAGGCTGGTCTTGAACTCCTGACCTTGTGATCCGCCTGTCTCGACCCCTTAGAAGTACTGGGATTACAGGTGTGAGCCACCACGCCTGGCCTGTAAAAACTAATTCATGGAATTCTTGCCAGAATTAAATGATGGTCATATGGCAGTTATTCTATAAAGATTAATATTTATAATTATAAAGAATTATTCAGGATGTATTCATACCTTTCTGATTTGGGGCTTTCATTGGGAGTCTGTGCTTTTTTTTTTTTTTTTGGTATTAATAGTTATTTCCAAATTAGACCTCAGCAGCTACAATTATTTCTTAAGTTAATAAACATACCTATCTTTTTGCCCCAATGGGTATATTTCTGAGTCAGTATTTATTTCATATACAACTATATACAGTTTGATTAGGGGGTCTTGTGTTTAAGAGCCAGACTTAATGCTGGAACAAACTTGTACGTGCCGTAGCATTATATTGGAAAGCATGTTTTTGTTTCAGGATAAACTAAACACTGGAACAAATTTCAAAATTCTGAGAATAATTACTTGAACATAATAATATTAAGGTGGTTTTACATGCCACTGTTTGGATTAACCAACTTAATTGATGATAATATTTTGCTTATTTTGGACCCAAATAGAATTATTTGAGAAGGAAAAAAAAATCGCTAAAATGTTACTATTTTTAAAGTCATATTTTCAATTTTATTTACTCAGACTGTAAGTGGATTTTATTAGAATAAGGATAAACATCACATTCTTGAAGTTCACTTACTCATTTTCTGCTTAATAGTCTTCTCCGGAAGCATACCAAACACAAGGACACAATTAAAACTGGCTACCATTTGCAGTGAGCTGAGGTCACGCCACTGCACTCCAGCGTGGTGACAGAGCAAGGCTCCGTCTCAAAAAAACAAAACAAACAGAACTGCTACCATTTATACTTAGGAGGGCTTTTTTATATCTGGTAAAGGCTAATCTTAAAATCAAACGGAGATTATCAGTTATTGGGCATTTTTTAACAGGGAAATACTGGGCCTCTGCTATTCAACTTTATACTGCTGATCTATTTCATTCTTATTATAGGTGTTGTGCTGTTGTGAAGTTTTTCACATCAATATAATTAAATGGGAATATAAACGCATTACTTTGGAAAAAATAATAGGCAAAAAGTTTTTGTTGTTGTTAAGACAGAGGCTTGCTCTGTCACGCAGGCTGGTGTGCAGTGGTTCTATCTTGGCTTACTGCAACCTCTGCCTCCTGGGTTCAAGCCATTCTACTGCCCGTGCCTCCTGAGTAGCTGGGACTACTGCTAAAAAATACTTTTTTTGTATTTTTGTAGAAGATGGGTTTTACCATGTTGGCCAGGCTAGTCTTGAGCTCCCAATCTCAAGTGATCCAAGTACCTCGGCCTCCCAAAGTGTTGGAATTATAGGCTTGAGCCACCGTGCTCAGCCAAAAAGATATTTATTAATTAATTACAGAAATTGAGAAATGATCAACTCCTCTCTCTCCTGTTTCTTATTATTTTTGTCTCCTAAACCACTTCATCCATCCATGGAGATTGTTGACCCATAGCTCTAGAAGTCATTTGGATGAAAAATTCTTTGGGTGCTGAGATTGTAAACATTTGCTGTGATCAGTGTGTAGAAAAATTAAGAGGATTTTTTTTATGGAGGCCAGTTTTATTGGAAAAGGTGATAGTGATGATGATAAAAATTAAGCAGGTAAAGAATTAATTGGCCAAGGGCCATAACTCATATGTATAATTCCAGAACTTTGGGAGGCTGAGGTGAGAGGATAGCTTGAGCCCAGGAGTTTGAGACCAGCAGGGGCAACATAGTAGGACCCCCTCTCTACCAAAAAGTAAAAATTAGCCAAGTGTTGTGGCATACCACATCTGTACTTCCAGTTACGCAGAAGACTGAGTTGGGAGGATCGCTTGAGTCCAGGAAGTTGAGGCTGCAGTAAGCTAGGATGGCACCACTGTACTACAATCTGGGTAACAGAATGAGGCTCAGATTCAAAAAAAACAAAAGAATTATTTGAGTGATTATTTTAGGAAACATGAGAAGAATTGGGATTTATATTGGAATTATTGAAGTTAAGAGATTAGGGACAGTTTACCTTAATTATGGAACTTGTTAATACTGTCTTTACTAAATGGATTTCTGATTATTTCTTTCCATTGTTCACTAGATCTTCCCAGCTTTTATTTAGTGCCTACTGACTGTACTTACATCACAAAGAATAGTTTTTGTGTATAGAGCCTAAGCTCTTTATCGAATGCCTTTAATCTAATATGACATAATAACATTGGGTGAACTACCTGACTTCTCTAGGCCTTAATTTTCTGATTTGAAAATGGGTGATGATATCAACACAAGATTAAGTGAAAATTAATATATATAAAGCAGTGGTTTTCAAAATATTTTAGTTATATATCCATGAAATCATTTTGAAGAAAGATTCTCTCATATTTTTAGTTGACATCTATTATTTGTCACTGAGGTTAAATAGTTGGAAAATATAATCTGTAGTGTAAAAACTACAGATTTTGATAAAGTTTTATATCTATTTTAATGTATCCAATTAAATATAAATACAGTGATACGATAGTACTATTTTGTAAAATATTAGACAAGCTTCTAACATTCTGAAAGTTTATGTTGTTCCTTTTTGTCTTTGAAGTCATTTCCATGCATTTTCCCCACAGAATTTTGTCTTATATAATACTGTTTTTGTGCTTTATTGGGCCAGGTGCAGTGGCTCACACCCGTAATCCCAGCACTTTGGGAGGCCAAGGAGGTGGATCACCTGAGGTCAGGAGTTTAAGACCAGCCTGGCCATTATGGCAAAACCCCATCTCTACTAAAAATACCAAAAAAAATTAGCTGGACATGGTGGCAGGCACCTGTAATCCCAGTTACTTCAGAGGCTGAGGCAAGGGAATTGCTTGAACCCAGAGGAAGAGGTTGCAGTGAGCTGAGATCGCACCATTGCACTCCAGCCTGGGTGACAGAGAGACTCTGTCTCAAATAAATAAATAAATAAAATAAACAAGTAATAAATGTGCTTTATTGATCACCTGTGAATGTAAGGTTCTGAGTGTTAAATCCCTTGTGGCTTGAGTTACTATAATTAATGCATAATTGATTAAAACTCTAGTAGTTATGGTGCCTTGGGTAAAGGAGGGTTTTGCTGACACCCTATTTGAAACCCTGGAGGGTTTAAAATTTTGGGCCATGTACTCTTGGAAGATTTG